GGAGGACAACCGCCAAAAACCAAACCTCCCACTTGACGAGTGTGAGCCTCATGGTGATCATTGGCACTGTCCCCCTGGTGTACCGGAGCCCACAACCCCTCCATCTCAATCACATCCAACAAACAATCCGCCAGCAGGTGAATGCACACCACATGGTGACCACTGGCACTGTCCACCAGGCGTTCCTGAACCCACAACACCTCCTCCAGAGTCACCATCACCGACAGGAGCGCCGCCAGTTGGTGAATGTGAGCCTCACGGTGACCATTGGCACTGCCCTCCTGGTGTCCCGGAACCAACCACTCCACCTTCGTCACCCCCCACTCCTGGTTCTCCAGCAGGCGAATGCACACCACACGGAGATCACTGGCACTGCCCATCAGGAGTTCCAGAACCAACCACGCCTCCGCCTGCATCTGATCCAGCCCCTGGTTCTCCAGCGGGTGATTGCACACCACATGGAGATCACTGGCACTGCCCGCCGGGAGTACCCGAGCCAACCACTCCTCCGGGGTCACCATCATCGCCAGATGCACCACCTGCTGGCGAGTGTGAGCCCCATGGGGACCACTGGCATTGCCCATCGGGGGTTCCTGAGCCAACAACGCCTCCGGGTTCGTCTCCAACTTCGATCCCACCGCCTGGTTCGCCTCCTATCGAGTTTGACAGCGCCGCGCCGAGAAACGGTCTGTCTGTCGCATTGCAAACGGCAATCCTGGCCAGTCTGGCTGTTGCGTGGAGTATGATGTTGTAATCCCACTTGCTCTTTAATAGTCATTTTTTGAGAAATACTTGTGCGATTGTGGTATTCGCCTATCAGATAATATTATCTTTAAACACAAAATACAATAATCACAGAGAATAGAACAAAACACGCCATCTTCCAAGCTACGTATACCAAATATACTCCAACAATTACTTGGGGGAATCAACTTTAGAATACAAGCACAAGCGAGGAGACAAAGCAGAATCCAGCAAATTTGAAGCAGAAACGTACCCTTGTGGAGATGTAGTGCATATCGGATGAAAAAATTCCCTATATCCAGCACCTTGCAAGAGAACCTTTTCTCAAACCATCCCAATGCTCCCCCGCTGGTGAATAAAAAAGTGAGAAATGCAAGCTACGACTTGCTCGTCCAACGGTTGCCAAGCGATGCTCCGTATATGGTCAGCATGACAACGTGGGGTTATGTTGATGATTGGATGTCGGATTTAGACTCCTCCTGTGCATTCGTCAATGCTGCTGGAGCTTGAGTGGCTTGGTCCGCTGAGACTTCCGGCTCTGGTTTATTAATATTTATCTCGACTGGCGGTTCACTTGGCGCTTTGATTGGGTCCGCCAGCTTTTCAGGAACAGTCTCCACAGACATATCAATAGCTGCCTGTGATGATTCTGAGGGCTTTTCGGCTGGGAGTTCGGGAACAACTTCAGATGGAACAGGAACAAGAGATGCTTCGACAGGCGCTTCAACAGGCGCTTCAACAGGGGCTTCAACAGGTGCTGCTTCAGTAACCTCCTGGACTAACCCTTGGTTCAACGGTTGAGGTCGTTCTTTGTCCGGTTCTGGTTCCGTTACTCCTACTGGGTCATCGTTACCTGACTCTGGTAACGATGGCTCCTCTTCGACCTTTGGTAGTACGGTAACAACATCCGTAGTGGCTGTTACTTCATGAATAGCCGGCGGTGGGGGGTTTGAATCTTGGGATCCTGAAAGTAAGGATGATGGCGGAGAAGCAGGTGCGACAGTCGCAAGCTTATCTTGAGTTCCAATGTGATGTTGGTCTTTTGTAGTGTCGAGCGGTTGAGTTTGGTTGCTTTTCCCGCCATCCCTAGCAAAAAATGACAAGCTGGTCCGCGCGGGCGTTCTATCATTATCAGAAATAGGAGGACTTTGGGCTCGTCCGTGGTCATGCTCTTTTTCTTTGATACCGACTTTGGCCTTGAACTTGCTGAAAAAGCCTTTGCGTTCTTCTTCACCGTTGTCCTTGGAGGCAGGTGGACTAACGATCTGGCTACCGCCCACATCAGATGATTGGGATGGTAGGGTAGATGTCGAGCTACCCTTGTTGACCTGCACGATATCGGGTGATGTGATTTGATTTTGTAAAACTGAACTTGCGAGGGACGAGTTGCTGAAACTGGCGCCGGTGTGAGCCCCGATTGGCGCTGGCGGCGAGATACTTAGTGAAACCGGATCACCAGCTCGTCTAGACGATCGATGAAACCTCCAGCTCGCTTTCCTCATCTATCGTATGCTCTTCACATGTTCCAAATCCGACTGATCGGTGACATAGTTCAAAGACGGCGAAGGTGTTCGCGATAAAGTTGATTTCAATATATTTTCTGTCGCCGTTGAATGAACTGATTTCTCCTCAGTACTGGTCTGGGTCGCCGGTGTGGTCATCGTCATTGTCATACCGCTATTAACATGTGCTCTCGGCGTAGAAACATGTGACTGATCCACATCAGTGTCGGGCTGTCCACGCAACGATGGGGGAGGTGGTGAGCCAATATCGTCCGTGTGATAACTTAGTGACTGTGTGGAACTCTGGGCACTCTCGCTAGCGCTACCGGGTATCCGACGCTTTTTCTTTAGTCTGTTAGGCTGTCGACCATCCTCAGGAGGACCTGGCCAGGCGAAAAGCGAGGTTAACTTGCGTTCTCGATTTGGGGTCCCAGCCGATTTCGGGGTATTGGTATCGGCAACGTTCTGACTGGGTTGTGTGGCGGACTCGGGAGCGGTTATGGGAGGGTTAATATCAATACGCATGTCTGGTTTCGTGTCTTTGGTATCTTTCATGACTTCTATTGATGGCACACGGCTGTTGGAGCGGGAGGTTGGATGCGGGGAGGGAGACGGTGATAATCCGCCAGTCGGAGGGTTCGATGGTTGAGGTGACCGATTGAATGCATTCGGGGAAAGTCCTGGAGGTCGTTTTGAAGGAACAGTATTACTTCGATGAACTCCAAAGCTATTGATGGATTTTGGAGTGGTTGGGCTCCCGACGTTTCCACCAGAATTTTTAGAATTTCTCGAAGACACAGATACGTTTCTTCGCAATGCTTCATACTTGCGAAGGCTATCTGCACCTCCACTGGCGTTGGATGCTGAACGACGTACGCCAGTCTTTGGATGTACACGCTCTTGCATTTCTTTGACGGTTTGCTCATCTGCTGCAGTGCCGGTCATTCCGAAGAGGAAGTTGTCTTGGTTTTCGATAAGAAAGACGAGTACATCTTGACTCAGTCTGTATTCCTGTGGCGACATGTCATGGTTAGGGTGAGAAAGCAAGCCTGGTTGGAATATCGCGGCTAGATTTGTTGCGGTCATCCTATTGAGATCGGATTTGGATGCGAAGACCGTCAGCAAGTCCAGTATATAGAGCAGCAGTTGGCGATTTAACGGAGGCAGCTCTTTAATCAGTTGCTGATATGCCGCTACGGCCTCATCACGACTGAGAATCCCTGTGTTGTTCGGCTCGGCACCCTCCCCGGTCGGTTGACTATAAGGCCGTCCATGTCGCAACGGGTCACGAAATCGGTCATAAAAGTCTAATGGAACGATGGGCTCGGGTAGTTGGTTGAGATATCGGCGTAGGACATTAGCTGCGTCGTGAACAGTGTACCCGTTCCAATCAAGACCCTTCCCGTATCGGTCTGGCGAATTGAAGACCTCTTGTAGATCCTTAATTCGCTTGGCGGAGCCACTCAAACGGAAAATGCCTTCGACATCGGTGGCTATTGCGGTGAGAAAGACATCAGAAATATTCCGTCCGATCGAAAGTCAGTCCTCAACTCACCTTTCTCCTTCAAGAATACTCCACATTTAGCTACTACTATAGGAACATAGCCATACACAAAACTCTTCCCATCCTCACCGGTTAGGGAGATGGCGACGTTGGCATATTTAATGCTAACGTTCAGAGGGATGCCGAAGATACCGGAAGGTGGTGGCACTGCAAACCAAGGTCAGTCAGACTCATTCAAAGACGACTCTCCCTAAACGTGGAGAGCCATGGGGGTCTGCAGTCAACGCCCATCCAACATGCAGCCGGACGATGACAGTAGAAGCTAAAGGTGACAAGAATGTACCTGAATCTTCTTTCTTTGTATTCCGCTTAAATTGTTTCCACCACGATGCTAAATCTCTTTTCGACGGAGGAGAAGGTGCCTCTGAAGGCAGGGATGGTGATGCTGGAGTCACTGCAGGACGTGAAGTCTTTGGCTGCGGGTTCTGCTGGGAGTTCGCCATGGTGCACGGTGATTTTTAGATGGAAACCAAGCCCTAACGAGGGGCGTGTGCACAGGCTGCTGTTTCGGCGTCTCACGAACCCTAATTGTTAAGATGAAAGTGACAGGAAATCAGAGAGGTCCGGACCCTCCGTGCTGAAGCAAAGTAGATGTATGAGCTTGACACAAGAGAAATATGTGAATAAGAGAACAACAGGATTAAACAGGGCTTGAATGGTGGGGATGTGGCCTTGTAGTTCGTGGCACGAGGCAGAAGACACGATGGAAGCCGATTTTGTTTCAGATTCTCAGAAGACAGGCGGATAGAAACTTGATGTCTCTCTTGTCGTTACGTGTATTCGCAGATCCAAGCGCACGGATGATGGGCGCGCATCGGGGGGGACGGGCGGTGCTTGAAGAGAGTGGGAGAGAGGAGAGTCGCGCAGCAAAGCAGCAGGTGATAAAAGATTATGATTAACTAGCGAAAGGTCGAGGTCGAGTTGGATGCCGGAAGTGGTTGAGTTCCAGAACGAACGGCGCGATTAGTCTGGCAATCCACAATGAAGGGTGGAGACTGGGATGAAACAAGAGGAACCAAAGACGAGACCACCAAAGATTAAGCGCGACGAAGATGGCGCATGGTGAAAGAATGAGGCCAGGCGTGTGAGTGAAATGGCGCCACAGCGATGAGCCCGATGCACCAACAGAAGAGAGGGAGAGAGTGAAGTTGAAGATGAAGTTGACCTGGAGGGAATGCGCGAAGGAACAGGAATCCCAGCGGCCGAGTCCTGGCCAATCGACGGCCGCAGTTCTGCTGGACGGCTTGCCCGTTTGGAGAGCGGTAAATCACGTGAACTACAGCCGGAACATCATTGATCCGAAGCAAAAAAGAGAGAATTGGAAGCTGTTGCAGCAAGCAGAAGAAGAGAAGGAAGAAGAGAAGAACAAAAGCAGCGCACCCCCAATCACACACAAATTCACCGGGAAAGGATTATTGGAACAAATTGCAGCCATGGACGGGTAGAAACCCCTTGCCTCCCCCTACAGTCCCCATCGCAGCGGCTAACCATGGCTCCAGACTCACAGCCGCTGAGCAGCAGGAGCTCCAGAATCGCATGGAGAAGAAGCAGATCAAAGAGTTCATGGGGGTAATGCCGTCCACTACCCTTTGAGCCGATGTCTGAGCGATCACAAGAGACCAAGCTGACAGCCCGTGTCCCAACCAAACAGGCATACTCGATGATTGTCCAACGCTGCTTCGAAGACTGCATCACCGACTTCACAACCAAATCCCTCATCTCGCGAGAACAAGGCTGTGTCAACCGGTGCTTCGACAAGTTCATGAAGACCGCCGAGCGAGTCAACCAGCGGTTCCAGGAGCAAGGAAACGCCATGATGCAGACCGGACAGATGCCCGGCAAATAAAGACGTTACGACATTCTCCGATTTCGCGTTTCCTTATTCTACTTGGCCCTTCGAACTGCGTCTCTTCGTTTCCATGGCATTGTTCCGGTCTTTTGATTGGCCTGTGATTTTTTGTGGTTTGGTCGGATTTTGTATCAACGGAAGAACGAGGCTATATCCGGAACGGCATTGTAACTGTACACTATCAACTACCGAATTCTAATGGGTTTAGAGATTTTAGTCTGGCTTCGTTTCTTCGCCAGTGTTGCCTGTGTCAAATGTTTTGCGTTTCTACGAGCAATCGACGTGCTTTTCAGCTCGTGCTGCAGGATCGAAGATCAACCGTTGAGGGCCTCATTCTCCAGCGTAGACCATGTCGATCCGCAGACGAGCACTCTTTCTGTTGCGTGGACTATGATATAACACAGCTAGGTTCATGTCTCCAATTTCAAGAGCAACTAATAAACACGTTTCGAGCCAGTGGACCGTTCTTAGTATGCAATCGCCATTGAACCATTGCCGTTGTATTCCAGTAGAACTATCAATTCCATTGCAAGTAGCGTCCAAGAATATGCGGGGAAGCATCCGCAGTGCGGTCGAGATTTGAATATCAGTCGGAGCCTCCAAATAGCCACTGTTCGCATCGTGATACAAAGCAACTAACGGCCTCCGGTTCCCCTCACCGTGAAGCTCCGACGCAACCCCACCTTTTCGCCGCCCCTCCCCAGCTGTCTCGAAACAGAATAAATATCCTGCGCTCCCACTTTCTCCTCATCTGCCGCTGGTATAAAGCTCTCCTGTCTGGCTTGGCCCATTGAACTCGATTCCTCATTATCCATAACCTCGTCTGTTAAGCAATTATTTAGTTGTTAATCATGGCTGATACCGTTGGAAAGGTGAGTGACCGTCCTTCTACATATACCATCATCAACCAAGCTAGCTGACGTGGTGCATAGACTATTACATGCAAAGTAAGGCTCCTGAAGCTTCCTCCCAGTAACTTGCTATTCATCCAAAGCACATTTATCGGCATCGGGGATCTCCCACGGGAATTCGAGAAGGACATCATCGCTAATTCGAATAGGCTGCTGTAGCTTGGGAGGCTGGGAAGCCATTGACAATCGAGGATATCGAGGTTGCGCCCCCAAAAGCTCACGAGGTTCGAATCCAAATCTATTACACCGGTGTTTGCCATACAGGTACGGATATGTCCGAGATGGGCCGGAATAAAGGAACGTTGCGCTAAGATCTCTCAGACGCATATACACTATCAGGAAAAGATCCCGAAGGTGCCTTCCCGATTGTGCTCGGTCATGAGGGTGCTGGTATCGTGGAATCAGTTGGCGAGGGTGTCACCTCGGTAAAACCAGGCGACCACGTCGTTGCTCTTTAGTACGCACTTCCCGCCATTGCCCATGGAATCAAAAGCTAACATGATACAGCACGCCAGAATGCAGAGAATGTAAATTCTGCAAGTCAGGGAAGACCAACCTCTGCGGTAAAATCAGAGCCACTCAGGGGAAAGGTGTCATGCCAGACGGCACTAGTCGGTTCAAATGCCGGGGACGAGACCTGCTACATTTCATGGGCACATCGACATTCTCCCAGTACACCGTCGTTGCTGACATTTCCGTCGTGGCCGTAACCGACAAAGCCCCTATGGATAGAACATGCCTTTTGGGCTGTGGCATTACCACCGGTTACGGCGCCGCGGTTGTGACCGCCAAGGTCGAAGAAGGCTCCACCGTTGCTGTTTTCGGCGCCGGATGCGTAGGCCTCTCTGTGATCCAAGGAGCTGTGAAAAACAAGGCCGGCAAGATCATCGTGGTGGATGTCAACGACACCAAGGAGTCATGGTCCCGCAAATTTGGCGCTACGGATTTCGTGAACCCTACCAAGCTGGGCAATAAGAGTATTCAGGAACACCTAATCGAGATGACAGATGGTGGATGCGATTACACTTTCGACTGCACTGGCAACGTTGGCGTAATGCGTGCCGCTCTTGAAGCTTGCCACAAGGGTTGGGGTCAAAGCATCGTGATTGGTGTTGCAGCCGCCGGCCAGGAGATCTCCACCAGACGTAAGGAATCATCTTTTCTCTAAAAGCAGGTCCAGCGCTAACAGCTATTACAGCATTCCAACTCGTCACTGGGCGTGTATGGAAGGGATGCGCATTCGGTGGCATCAAAGGCCGTTCACAACTCCCTGATCTCGTCAATGATTACCTCAATGGCGATTTGAAGGTTGATGAATTTATCACCCACCGGGAGCCATTAGCCAACATCAACGCCGCTTTTGAACAAATGAAGGCTGGAGATTGCATTCGATGTGTCGTCGATACAAGAAAATAAACGAACAAATGATCTGATTCTTGGACATTTACGAACCCCTGGGTTTATATCCAACCCTATCTCACAGTTCACACCTTGTAGGTATCTCCTGTTCATGTAGCTCTATCTCCATTTTTAACGGCAAGCAGTACTAGATACGATGTAAAACTACGCGGTCCAATGAAAACGTTATTGGTGTAAATAGATTCTAAACAATCTCCATATCAATCAATTTCGGCTAAAGCTACATAGTGGCCACCTACACTTAGATCATGGCTTGGAATGAGTCAACATCTTTAGAGCGGCGTTTGCATTATGGTCGTATCGACGCTATCAAAGCTCCGGGCGCCATTGTGACTGTATTCCTCATATAAAGTAGTAAAAGTACTGAGATGAAAAGAATCTAAAATCATTATGTTCGCCGAGGATCTAACTAGTTTCCTAGGCGGGGCGGAGCGGGGGTCTTTGGGCATTCCTCGTTATATTTAGGAATATCGCTCTGTCTTGTTTCCACTTGTTGGTTCCCGCCCGGCGAGGGTTGAGCTTGGGGATGCAACAAAAAACATATTCTCTAATTGGCGACGCGCTCCAGCCATCATAGCAGGGACTGCGGGCTCTGAGATTTAACAGGAACATGACTGCCCAGCTATACCTACTCAACGACCGTCTTTCATCGGCTCTGTTTCCCCTCTGAGAACCGACATGCATGTCATCCCGACCCAGGGAGCCGGAGCGATGCTCTCAAGGCACGAGCATACATTGGCAGCAACAGGCCGTATATTAGACATAAATCCCTCACAGGTCGCACAGCCAGCTTATTTGCAGGGTTTATAGTGATGGGCTGTCTGCTTTTGTCTCTTGTGGAGCCCTGAGCTGAAGCTGCTTCTCGCACTGTCAAAGATGACAGGTAACCGGTACTCGGGAAGTTCCGTCGGCGAGTTTTTAATTCATTTTTACACCGCGCAATCATAGCTTCTTGCTGATGATGCCATCGAAGTGAATCAATCAAACTGAAGTTGGTCTTTGCCGCAATCTTTGTTTGTTTCAAGTTAACTACTCAGTCACTTTCTGACCAGGGCGTTAGATGGTCGAGCTATTCAACATTATTTCCTTATCAATTCTGTATATTCTAACTGGCATGCTCGCTCGTTAAAGAATTTTATGCCCTTTTGACAGAAAGTCGCAGCTGAGTTCGCGAGTACCAGTCACCATGCTCACTGAGCTCCAGAACCTCAGCAAACACTTCTCCACCCCGAGCTCCCTAAAGTCTGCTCCCACTTCCTCCAGATGGAATGTCAAGAGCTGGAAGTCCACTTCCTCGACCTCTTATGATCCTCTGTTTACCGAAGAAGCGAGGAAGCCTGAAGATGTCAAGGGATGGCCTACAGAAGCTGCGCCGTTAAAAAAGAGTGGTAGGACATATGCTATAGCCCTGGTTTGTGATGTGCTGGCGGTTGCCGCGACGTTTCCGTTCTTACTACTTGGGATATACGCGGCGCATAAAAGAGGTCAGGTTGTGGGGGATTATGAATGGAAATCCTTGCAAGAGGCAATGAAATTGGTATATATCCACCACCTGTTTACCCAGTAGTGGGTGAACTGGAGCATCACCATTGCTTTCTCGCTAATTCGATGCGGGTGTCTAGGCTGTGACCTTGTTCCCAATTGTCTTCGCCGCAGTCATAGGCCGCATGACACGGGTTGTTGCGACATGGCAAGCTGAACGTGGAATTCCGCTTGGGCAGCTAGAGCAGTTATTTTGGAGTTCCACCGTGTTTGGCACTCTATCAACGCAGATCCTGCTCGGTTCATTCAATAAACTTACAGTCGGGCTACTCTTCCTATGGGCATTATCACCACTGGGGGGTCAATCATCGCTGCGGATCATCTCGACTGTCGTTCGGCCAGAGGTATCGGTTGCCAACGTGACAGCGCTGAACACAGAGAGGTTATCCTTTTTCGAAGCCGGTGCCGATGTCTTGTCAATGGTGCCAACATTGAATGCTTTATACATGACCGCTTTAATGGGGCCACACCACTCCAAGCGCTCTCCGGTTGACCTGTGGGGAAACGTGAAAATTCCACTGATGTCCCATTTGGATTCTGCTTTCAAAGCAAACGCCAGTGGATGGTACCAATTCGACCAGCACGGGGGATTACCGTATTCCTCCCTTATCGGCGTTCCCGTCGTGGGACTTTCGGACACAGGGAATACGACTTTCAACATTGAAACATCGTACTTTGATCTCAATTGTCATAATCTGACGCAGTCGGAAATTGTGCCACTAACGAAGAACGTCACTTTCGGTGAAGATTTAGGACATGGACCCCCGCGCGTAGCACGGTTCCCCAGCTCCTATATCGGCTCGAACGGTAGCGAAGGCTGTTCCGAATCCAACTGCCAGATTTCCTTCTCCATTGGAATAAGCCATTATGTGGAGAATTGGGAGCTTTCCAACCCAGAACGAGACAGAATTTCCAGCGGTCACAGGGAACCAGGAAACGGTCACTTCGTCACCGCCAACGCTTCTCTTCCAGGCGAGACATTCTGGGAAAACAGTAGCTTACTGTGGCATAAAGCGAATCTATGTTGAGTCCGCTATTACCTGCATCGGAGATCCGTCACTCCTCCGCAAACCCCAGTGTGCCGTAACTGCCATGCGGGACAGCCTTCGCCCACACCAGCCGTCCGATATCACCCCATTCTTGTTCGCGGGAACGTTTGTCAGTTTCTCTGCGCGTCTCGCCCAGTCCGCCGGCCAAGGCCATGCGGGATACGCGACAGTCACAGAGCGCTACCTCAACAATACTGAGAATCCACTCCTCGCCGACGCCAGACACATGACTCTCTATGACCAGCCCAAACGAGTTTTCTCGCAGCGCCTCAGCCAAGTTCTGAACACATACTTTCTTCCCAGCCTCCTCCCAGAAGGCATCGTTGACGACCTCTCAGTTACCCTCTCACAAGACTCCACACCCGAAAAGGGCTGGAACTTGAATAATACCCTGTCACGGACGGCGACTGCCATCGTAACCAACCACTCAGCGGAGACCTACGCCGTTTCCGGCGGATGGGTGGCTATTTTCATCTTCTCCTCTCTAGTCATGTTCGGCGCAGCCGTAATGTCCGCAATCTTAGCCCACCGAACGTCAATTCCGGATGTGTTGGGGTACGTGTCAAGTTTCACAAGAGATGCCAAGTACTTTCCGCTGCCGCAGGGAGGTTCTAGGCTGGATGGATTGGCGAGATCTAGGATTTTGAAGAATTGGGTGGTGAGGCTAGGAGATGTCAAAGGCTCAGATGAAGAAATTGGCCATCTGGCATTTGCGGAGGTGAGGGCTGCCGGGAGAGCAAGGAAAGGCCGACTGTATTGGTAATTTTGCATATGGCAGCTGCCAGCTGCAGGAAGGTTGATAATGTCCTCTTGCAGTTTGATACCTAATCGAATCAATAAATATCCCAGCAGCTCATCGATACAGCTTCTTTTTCATTGATACTCACTCAAGGCTACCCAACGTTGACGAACTAACTAGCGGAATAACCTTCCTCCGCAGCCGACCGGAAGATTCTTCACCCGGCACCGCCTTCAACGGCAAAAACACGCGCGAATTCAACTTCATCTCTCGCCAGTTGATACAGCCTCCAATGCAGCAATCCATTTGGACCGGCAAATCCCTCAACAAACCTCAAACGTGTCTAGACACCTTTCTGCCCTCCTCCGACAGTAGCAATCAGCCATTTGCCGGCAAACGAGGATGAATTTAACAGAACCAGGGTCCTTTTGAGGCTCTGGCATGGCGTCAATCTTCCCAAGGAGCTGCAGAAAATGTCCACTTGCATATACACCCTAGCAGACGCTCCGTGGAACCTTGGGGCATTTACTCCTTAGGGTCAAAATGATGGACTTTCCGGCCGAAAAATGGCTCGCCGTTCCATTCTTAGTACGGTCTCCGCATGCGTTTCCGCACTTGCAAGAACGCACCCCTTGTCGTCATTACTTTCTGCAATCTCCCTTCTTAGAAGCTTGATGTATTAAGCAGCCGCTTGCTGATGCAGATTGATTCTTCAGGATCCCAAGAGGTGACATCCCCATTATTTGTGGAAATCCGTGCTGGTCATTGCCAAATCAGACTAGCCTAAGGCAACCCTTAGGGAATTTGCCGAAGGGGCCAATCGATGAACCCTGCAAGTCCATGTGGTTTGTGCAACTTTTACTCCGTATTTTCTGCTGTGATTCTGCGGTTTACCGACCACTAGCTCTATACCAAGCATTGGGGCGTGCTGTTAGGGTTTGCTTTACTAGGGCATCACCATTGTGATGGCGATTATGCGATGTCCCACTGATGCTATGAATAGCATGAGGGCAAATAATGGATCGGCCCGGGGATGTTTGCTAACCTGATGTTTATTGTTTTGTCCACCCCGTAGTTAACTTGGACGCGGTTTTGGGTGGTTTTGGCATTTGCAACTTCGGATAGTGCACCATCCTAGCCAATTTCTATGTCTTGGAAGATCCTGATACCACTTGATTGCAACCTAGTGGCTGTCTATAAAAGGCCGCTTCTTGGCCTAGTTTTTATCCAGTATTCTCCATTTAGCCATCATTTCAAATCCCTACACGGCTTCGACTTGTTTCAAAAGATTCTCAACGTTATTTTTTTCGATTTCAAACCGCCTACCCCGAATTATCAAGCGAGAAATGTGCCCTTCAATGAACGAATCCATCGCCTCTGAGACTCGGTTCGAGCCTCGTGATAAACCAGTGATTGTCGGACTATATGGTGTTTCCGGCTCTGGCAAGACCTTTTTGCTAAACCAGCTAAGGTGAAACTTGACAGGGAACATTTTGAATTTTAAGACGGTTCAGAAATGATTGCTAGCCTTGTTCCTGGCGGGCTCGAAGCATTTCAGAAGTTGGACGAGCAAGGAAAAATCATCTGGCGGCAGCGAGCCATCGATACTATCCGGAAACATTGCTCCGAAAGCGGACGAACCGCCGTTGTTGCAGGGCATTTTATGTTTTGGCCCAGCGAAGAAGAAACCGGGAATCCGTTTATACTCAAAATGATCTCGACGCTTACACGCACATCCTATATTTGAATGTGCCGGCGAGAGTTATTGCTCAGCGTCGTTCTAACGACATTAAAAGAAACCGCCCGAGTATATCAGTCACTCATATATGCAAGTGGCAAAAGGCTGAGGAGAGCCAGTTGCGGTATCTCTGCCGTGAAAATGGGATCCTGTTTTCCCTTCTACCAGCACATTTGATATCTGCGGACAAAGTTTCGGCATTCTTGCGTGATTTCCGAGGCCATACCGAGAAGTATAACCTTGTTTGTGCTGAGAGCACTCTTGATGCAGCCGTTGATTCCGGGAATGGCAGGCTAGAGACAATGCTAGTCATGGATGCCGACAGAACATTGTCTCCAGAAGACACCGGTGTTTTATTCTGGGAGGAATTATCTGCTTCCCGGCGATTTAAGAACAATGACCCACTGAAAGCGCTATTCGACAGTCCACTGGCCTACTCATATGCCGCTTTTCGCCAGGCTACTTTATTGTATGAAGAGGCTGCCGATGACGAAGAATTCAATGCCGTCTGTGACAAAGTGGCCTCGGCGGTGGTTCTATACCCCGAAATTGTAGCCCTGCTCCGCCAAGTCGAGAGAGAAAGTCATGTCGGCGCTGTGGTCGTGACATGTGGGTTACGTCGCGTTTGGGAGAAGGTATTAGAGAGAGAAGGCCTGTCTGAGAAAGTGATGGTCATTGGCGGAGGCCGCATCGCGGACGGCTTCGTTGTTACACCTTCGGTCAAAGGTGCGCTGGTAGCTAAATTACGGAATCATCACCAAATGTATGTCTGGGCATTTGGAGATAGTCCCGGGGATTTGGATATGCTGCACAAGGCCAACCAGGCTGTCGTTGTGGTTGGCGACAAGCAGGGCAGAAGCAAAATCATGGACGAAGCTCTGATAGATTCGATCGACAACAAGGGCCTTCAAGCTAGTCAGGCTGTGCTGGGTAACAATACATCCCCCAGATTAGACGCAAGCAAGCTCCCCATTGTCCAACTCACGGGACGTGAGTTTATGGAATCTATCATTCGGCGTCGGAAGTCTTTCCCTGGCCCTCGGATCTGGCATGGAACAGACAGAAATGCAGCCAAACTACTTGCCACTCAGATGCGTGATGCAAAGGTGGCCGGCCCAGATTTGAGAGAAGCACATCGTCGCGCCGGATGGTATTTAGCGACAGAAACCCTGGCTGACATTCTCGGTGTCGAGGAGTGTCCCATCCAGCACGTTCTAGGCCGCCCTACAAGTGGCTATCGTCTCTTGAATGAGTCACAGACACTAATTGTCGCGTTGATGCGCGGAGGCGAACCCATGGCTTTCGGGGTCAACGACGCCTTCCCGCTTGCTATGTTCCTCCACGCCCGCAGCCCCGATGACATTAAGCAGGAGCATCTTCAGGGACGGCTCACCGTACTGCTGGTAGACTCAGTGGTGAACAGCGGCAAGACAGTCATAGAATTCCTACACCATGTTCGCAGACTCCATGGGTCTATTCGTATCATGGTGGTTGCCGGCGTCGCCCAGTCGCAGTCTTTATCCAAAGGCAGTGACCTGACTAGGGCGCTCAATTCCTATACAAACGTCGGCCTGGTTACGCTTCGCATTTCTGACACCAAATTCACCGGCAAGGGAGCCAACGACACGGGAAATCGTCTATTCAACACAACGCATTTGCCCTGAAAACCGTTCCCAACCCACGGCATTTTCTTTTTTCTGTTTTTTCCCTTTTTTGGGTCTGGAGATGCGAGGCCGCATGGGGAACAGCCAGGACTAGGCTTGACTGTAGCTAAATTGAAGAATAAGTTTTTGCTTCTTTAATAGAATGTTATGATTTTTGATATTGATTCAGAGTAACTCAGGAGTGCGGAGTACATCGGAGCAATAGGGCCAAGACGCTAACCAGCTCAATAGTTACAGCACGTCAAGCACGTCAAAATCATCATAGTCGCACCAACACAGCGGATTCTCAGGCCAATGTCTCGATAACTGGGACGTGCAAGCCGCCAGACTCACTCACCATGGATGCGGCAGCTTCTCCATTGTCGGCGACCTCGTCCCGCCGCAAAACACCCGCTTCCTTTGCCTCGTCGTCCCCTATCTCCATCCTCTCCTCGCCCGCCGCCCACACATTCTCACACCTCCACCCCTCGTTGATCCTCTCCGGATACGCCATTCGATTTCGAGCATTAGTAGCTAATCCCGTTCACACGCTTGCCGAGCTCTTGCCAGCCCTCTGTGTGGTTCAAGCCGCTTACGTGATCGTTTGCTTGCCGGCCGCGAAGAAGGACGCCGCGAGCAAAGATAGAGGGAAAACAGGACATAAGCGGAAACTCGGAGTCGCCGGCGGAGACAGTGACGGCGCGCTGGGCGCAAGGATAGTGGTATGTCTCTATCATTTGCTATTCCTGACAACAAGAAAATGGGCACTGACGAGGTATACAGCCAGCAATCCTCTCCCTCCTTCTCCCTCTCCTCCTAGGCACACCCTTCCTTACGATCCTCCTCATTCTTTTCGGCGCTCCGATCACTACGCATATCACCCAGACCCTCCTATGCGCCGCACACATGTCCGTCCTGGCCGGGACCAGCCTCGTTTACGTCCACGGCACTGACAGCTTAGCATGGCGGGAAATCTGGGGCGCTTCCAGGCCGGTAGATAGCGTCTGGGGAGCAGCCGTAGGAACGGCTCTTGGCGCATGGCTGGGCGCGGTACCGATTCCTTTAGACTGGTGAGTATTCCGCGGCGGTTCTATGGTGAAGGTAGATGTCAGTGATAAAAACTGAATCTAACGTGAATTAGGGATCGGCCATGGCAAGCGTATCCTATCACGATAGTCACAGGTGCATATTTAGGTTACGCATTTGGCTCACTCGTGGGAAGGACCCCCTTATTGTATGGAAAGCGAATACAATTCACTGCAGAGGACGAAGATGAAGGAGAGTCGTCCAATGAAGAAAAGGCCCTGAAGCAAATTGAAGCTGCAGGAAGTCCCGCTGAAGCAGAGCAGGATCTTGTTGGAAATCAGCAGATGCCACAGCAAAGTTCGAAGCACAAGCCAAAGCAAAGGAAACCATGAGCTGTGAGTGACGAGTGGTTGGCATGAAGGCACCATTTTAGACACGCCGCGACAAATAGAGATGTTGTATTTTTCCAATCCTCTACTAGAAATAATGCGGACAATTGTCAATCCTTCACGTGTCATTTCCCAGTATTATCAAATTAATCATTACCTAAAAATCAAAACTGATACGGAAAGCTGCTTCACTCGGCATCAAGACTCGACGCCAATATACCCGGCGTCTGCTTGGTGCATACCGTCACTCTTAATCTTCGTCCGTGCATATCCCCAGTTATTCCAATTATCTACCTCGACAGGTGACCCTGGGGGCTCCGGCTCTGGCTCATAATGCTGCATCACTATAGCCTTTGCCGCTTTCCCGCGCTTTTTTGTAGATGGTGTCGCCCAAGCGTCCTCGGGATCAGAACCTGGCCGTTCCTCAGACGGGCAAGATTTTTGAACCACCGGTCCCTCTTCAAAAACAACTTGATCTGGCGCTTCTAGATGGAGCATCTCTTCCTCCGGCTCTGCGGGTAGCTCTTCGATCTGTTTGACAGCGACTTCCTCCACAGGGGCTTCCAACGCCAGGTTCTCTTGGCTCGGATATTCAACGGGAACATCCATAGGGGTGAGAAGACTCTCGAGGTGTTCGTTCTCGTCGCGAAGTGTCATAATCTTGTGAGCGTATATCTCCCCGACACTTCGCATCAGAAATTTATCGAATCCGGGATCAGTGCCTACGATACCTAGGAATTCATCCTCACGAAACACGCCCTCGTCGGCACAGAACGCAGCCGTCATCTTATCTTTGATATACTCCTTGAACCACGTATTTTTTTCTGGCAGTTTCGAATAGATAGACCGCGCGAGGTTCAAGATCGTAAGAATTGGTATCGAGTAGTCTAGCCTCAGCATCATTCTCCTCGCATGTTCCTCTAGACCTTCGAGACCGTATGTAGTCGCAGCAGAGTAAGCAAGAACGCTCCGTCTATATTCTTGCTCCCCGTCCCAGCCAGCCAAATTTCTAATCGTCTGGTAATCGCCGGTGCATAGATAATGGGCCAAAGTATGGCCCACGTCCTCGTGCACATCAGAGACATCGATCAATATTTTAGCTCCAAAATTATTCCATGTCCCCCCTATGGTGGTGCCTCGAATAAAGTATTCTTGAATTGTGTACTTCTGTCTGCTTTCCCCAATTACGAGAGTAACAGGTGGCGTGAGATAGGGCCTGCAAAACCCGGCAATGTCAGTGTCCATCCAGAGAGAAGAGGTAGATAAGCATACGATTCAGTTGGCTGCTCTTGCCTGGGTTTCGCAGCTTCAACCAGTTTTGACTTTTTGGCTTTTTTCTTTGGGGCCATTGCTCAGTATTAGAATGGAATTATTGACTAATGTTGCAAAAGAATCGGAGAATGTGAGATGGGCAGATGCGTCTCATAGCCTTCTTGTAGCAGTCGGTATGAAAGGAGGGGTAAACCACCGCTATCGAAGGTCCAAAGCCCGAGCCACCAATGAGATCAAGGGGGCATGAAGCCTTGCTGAGAGTAGGGAGTCCTATCCAATGCAGATGCGCCAACGCATGTTTGCATATGGACCAAGGGAGGTTCAAAATGGGAGTTCCCGGAGCCTCGTAGAAGTAAAAGAGAGAGCGGAATGGCGAAGGGTGGTCGCTAGGTGGACTAGGACAGAACACAGTCCTAGCAAAAATATTGATTTCCATGTAACTGTACAATGCAATGATTATTTGAACTGGTATATTCATCCAAAATTGAACAGGTCTGAAGTGGTGTGGGAAGAAGTTAAAAGGAGCGAAGAGAATCATCTACATCACACCAGTGGACATGGCAAGGGTATCATGACAGAAAGCATATAAATTAAAAAAAAAGAAGCCAATAATATGAATAACCGCAAAATGGGTAATGTATCGAGAATCGCCAAAATTTACCACCGTCAAATGCACCGGCAAAAAGGGGAAAAAGAGTAAGGAAAGATTGCTGGCATCAGACGGGGACAGCCTAGCCTCTCCCCATTATTTTATCAAACGGATTCATGCGGTGAGACGAACTTTCCGACTTCATGGCATAGCTCTCCGGTGATGCATTGCTACTTCGGCCGTAGCTGCTCTCACTGGTCTGTCTCCACATCCCCGAATCCATACGATCATGTTTGCCGCGCTGAGACGATGCAGTAGATCGAGAATCCGGACTTGATGCCCGCAAGAAACTATCCTGTCCAGACCTAGAGCTGGCCCGTAGTTGTTGCACTTCTTGCTGGAGTTGGAGAACTTGCTTTTCAAGGTGTTTTCGGGCGCTTTGCTCTCTGCGGACTAGGGTTGTGAGAGCGCTGTATTGCTCAACAGAAATCCCCGGTGAGGTGAATGGGTATGGACTGATTGGCGGGGACGAATGGGCTGCGGCTGTATGTGGACGTAGAGTCGCCGTGCTGATAGGCCTGTCTGTGGTTGTGGGGGATGTTCGCGGGGGTGCGGTGTCTTGGTAAGGTGACGAGCGCAGGGGATGTGGTAACTGAGGAGTAAGGTGTTCTGAATCGGCATTCTGTGCACTATTCATTGGTTTTGGTGGTGGTATCGGGGATGGCGTAATAGGAGATATATTGGATCCTTGCATTTTTGCAATCGCGAATTCCAAATCCATCAATTTCACTTCGAGGGTGGACACGCGTTGTGTGAGGTTGACATCGTTGTCCTCTTGCATATTCGACATTAAATTCCCAAAATCAAACTGGCCCAGCTCACCGTTCGGCGCGAGGCTCTCAACTCGAATTTCCGTAGGATCATTTTCTTCCTCTGCAGTCGTGATTGGAGATTCAGGTCTATCCAGAACGGGGTCAGGCTCAACCTTTTTGCCAAAACTAGCTCTCCAAAGCTTCATCTCATCGCTCCGCCGGCGCCACTGGATCGGTGACATGCGATGTGCCCTAGCCGATTCCCTAAGAGCATACGCACTCCGTGAGCGGCGTTTGAGCTGGGCTGTAGTGGTCTGCAAAGGACGCTCTACTATGCTTTTTCTGTCCATCAACGACGATGAGACATCTCCGTCCCTCGAGCCTTCTTGCGCGATCCTGGACGCTAACTCTCGCCCCTCTTCGGTTGATAACACAAGGCTTGGAAGTGTTGCTCTTCGACGAGGACGTCTGCGCTGTGATTTGAACTGTACGTCTTCTTCCGGTACATCCAAATCCGTAGGGGGCGGAGTTGGGAGAGCGGCAAACTGAGGTTCACTAGGGCTAGTTAAAGGGGAAGGACGTCCATGCGATGAGGTTGACTTGATAGAACGCTGGCGCAACGCCAGAAACCCGAGAAAAGGGGCTATTCGAGCTTCGAAGGCCAATTGAGCCCTGGGGAAGGGGTCGTCGCGTGACCCTTTTCATCCGGGGGCGCACTTCGAACCGGAGTCGGTCTTTCGTTTGCGGCCCAAAGAGTTTGCGCATGATAGTTTCAGTGTGCTGGCCCTCCGATGGGGCATCGTTGGGTTCTGGATTGCTGTGATTGAAGCACAACTGTGTGGGTTTTGGGAGGCGAAGTGATTATGATAAGAAGGGATAGGTTGGGACCCGTCAAAGGGCAGGGAAGAATGCATGGGCGGGTAAGATGCATGTGTCTGATGCTGGGATGGGGCTGAAGCGACAATGGGGGTCAGTGGAGGGAAGGCGTTCGGTCCATGACTGCTCTCGGTTCTTAACGCTGGGTTGCTCAGGGGAGCAGAGATCCTCAGATCCTCCCGGCGAGGGGCCATGGCCGGGCAGAGCTACGCAAACCCAGGGCGGAGACCACAAGGGAGGGACTGAGCAAGGGCAACAAGGTTAAGGATAAAAGCGGGACCTTCCAGAAAAGATGGAAGGGAAAAGCGGACGGTCTTGACCGTAATTTGTGATTTTTCCCCGGTTGCCGTACAAGGCCTTTTGTTGCGGAATGACGGTGTCTCACAATCCCAGCAGCTCCATGGAGAGAGTCGATCGAGTGGTGGGTATCATGATCTGGACCGATGATGCGAGCGAGGTTTCTGGACGCGCTAAACATGCAATGGATGATTGGCGAACGGATGCGACCAGGGAGCAAACGAGCGTGGAAGAGGCTGAGCCAACCAATTGCCAGTGGAGCCTTGTAGGTGAGAAGCGAGCAGTGACAAATCTTCGAGTAATCGAGCGTCCAAGCGGAACTCGTATGCAAATGAGCGAGCAGAGAATTGGGTGTTGGATGAAGATGGGTTTATACTTCGTAAGGACTGGCTGGCGATGAGCTGTCGTGCCGTAAAGAACAGGATACACGCTGGTCAAACGTCAGGCGAGGGATAGAAAGAAAGGTCATCTCCTCGTCAATCATGAGAAGAAGAGAGTCATGATCCAGAGAGTCATGAATTAGCCGAATGGGCGGTCAGATAGACAGCCAGGCTCGTAGAGGCGAATCAATCCGACGCCGGCGAGCTCAACAACAGAAAAGAAAAGAACGGATAAGAAGAAGAAGAAGAAGAGGAAGAATCAGGAACCAGGAGGAACCAGCAGACACATGAAGATGAAGAAGAAGAAGAAGAAGAAGAAGAACATGAAGCTCTTCGCCTGGCGGCCATCAAGAGGCCCAACCGCCAGCACTTTGCTCAAAGCGGGCGTATTAGTCGATCAGGTCGACGCTGCGGGCATTTTGTGTCTGCTTGCTGGCCCTCAAGGCGTCCCGTCAGGGGTAAATCTCCACTTGGCTTCCCGCTTGCTCCCCAAGCCCGGCCCATGTCACCCTGTAACTCTGGCTGCGAGCTGGGGTGTGCGATCCGACGTTGTTCTGGAACAGAGACAGGATGCGGTTGTCGGTCCGCAGGCGAGAGCGAGACGAGTGGCAGCGCTTGTCCGCAGAGAAATCGTCGTTCAGAGCCGTCAGCGGGCGAGAGGCTCAGCCAGCACGGAGATCACCCGGCGGTTCGTGCATTTCGAGAGTTGAGATGCGTTGAATCGAGGCCTGTTCTGCTCCACCACAGCTCGGGTCTATCGCAACGCTAACTCGCCAGCGCAACAGCTTTGGACGGCGAGCTAGTTTGCTGCCCAAGAGCATCGTCTCTGCCAGCTCGTCACTTCACAGTCCGCCAAGGTGTCGTGGGTTGTTGGTTGCATGGTCGGAAATCCATGCCAGTCTGTCCTGTGCGATGGCAGATGGGAGGTTGTCACCTGTGTCCAACCTCGCACACACCAAAAAACAAACGCCAGGCCGAAACCGCCTCACCCGCAGGACGCACGATGCCTCAAGCAGGTCTGAAACACTGGTTGCTTATCTTGACTTTAAAGATACGAGTGCACGAGCAGGCAATCAGCCGCCTGCACAACACGATGTGCATGCATCTCCAGGGAGCGATCGCCCAGGTCCAGGGCTTCTACAGGTTGGATTTGGGCTCAGGGCTATGGCTACGGAGCACAGGCTGCTGTCGCTCTCTACAGTCGGTTGAATCTGTGACACGGAGTCTGCCACTCAGTCCGCAGAGAAGTCTCCGGGCCTGGTCGAAACTGTCCTGAAACCAGGGCTGATAGTACGACCTGTTCCCCGAACCAGCACAACGGCTGCATCGCCTCTCCTCCTGGAAATACTCATGGCGAAGGGCAATCTTCAAGTCTTGCTGCCAAACGGATTCTCGATGACAGAGCAAATATCTCAGGCCTGCCTTCGTCGCGTTGGAATCCGTCAACTTGTCTGCATAAACTCCGTCGCATCAGGATACCGCAGATCGGCATTTTCTTCCAAAAACTCCATCCACCGTTTGAGGAACGGACTTCCACTGCCACAAGTTTCAGCATGATTGCCGGCCGAGTCAGTTACAGGAGCACGCGTAACTCTTCCCGCGTGTTTTGCATGCATGGAGATAATCCACTTACCGGCTGATAGTCTCGGAGTCTCCACACACGCATAAATGCCTCCGTGGACGAGTCATGGCCACTGGTTTATCAAGATACTTGTCAGCAATCGTCCGAGCAAGCAAAGCATTCCGTCGAAACGCAACATACCGTTCAGCCTCCTCTTCTCACCCAAGAAGCCCACTTCCCGCTCTGGATTGCTTCTCACAAGGCTAACCACAACCGCTTCTTTCTCCCGCCCCTGAAACCCATCCACACTTCCAATCTCTAAGCCGGGATATTTCTCCTTCAGTAGCTGCGCCAACAAAGCCACCTGTGCATTATACGGTGTGATCACCGCGATGTCCTCCTCCACCACGCCCGCGGCGATCAAATTCCCCACATGTCTCGCGACAATCGCGCCTTCGAGATCATTGCTCTTACTATCCGCCAGGAGAAGCTCGGCCTCTTCGGTGCGCTCTGGAAATTCGTCGCCTTGGGTGTCGTAAAAGACCAGTGGTTCCCGAGTATCGTCCGTGTCTTGGACTTCATACGGAAGGTCCCTGAGCAGCCGGGCCTTGACATGGTCTGCTGCAATGAGCCTAGATTCGTAAAGCTCTGACGAAGGAAAAGACATAATCTTTTCATGCATACGATATTGCGTGGTGAGCATGCGTTTGATGTCAGCGCCGTGGAGGGAGAGGAGGCGATCAAAGAGGGTAGTTTCGAGGGTTTCAATCGAAAGCTTCGACATGGAAAGGTCAGCATGGTGGTCTTCCTCAAATGACTTTGGCTTAGCAGCGGAGCTGGATATCTTTGTCGTTACAGATTTAATCGTCGGAGGCAATTGTAGATGATCGCCTGCCAGTATCGCCTTGGAAGCCGACAACAGGGGAACCCAACACTGCGCCTCCAACGCCTGACTGGCCTCGTCGATAAGCACAACATCGAACTTTTGATTCCGAAGCTGATGCCCACCGGATCCATGCAGTGTCGCCAAAACCACCTTGCTCCCCGTGACCAGGCTATCGACACACCTTGCCTCCCGCTCCCGGAATTCCTTTCGCAGCTCTTTCAAATCTTTATATATCTCCCTCCTCTCTCTTCCGCTCCTTGTTTTCCGGATACTGGCCTGCTTCTGTTCGATTTCTCGTCGAACGTCTTTCACGATCGCTGCGGAGTCAGACGTTTGTGTCAAGACTTCCAACGAATGGTCCAAAACTGAAGACAGCAAGCGCGCAGGATGTCCAATCCGTACGAGTGGGATTTTATGCGGCGCCAGTCGTTCAACGATATTGTCTACGGATATGTTCGACGGGCCGCAGACGAGAATGCGCAGGTTACGGCGGACGAGCTGGAGGATCAATTCGATCAGAGTGTGTGTTTTACCCGTCCCAGGAGGACCGTGGATGAGTGCAATCTCATGGGATGCTAGGGCGAAGCGGATTGCTGCTTTCTGGGAATCGTTCAGACTCGGGTCGATGAAATCGATAGAAGAGCCGGAAGCCCAGTCAGGGGAAGACGGTGTCGTGTGCCCAAAGAGAACTTGCATGAAGCGAGTGTGGTCAGATTCGGTCATCTTTTCCATTCTGGTCATGGTTTGTTTCATTCTTCACGTCTACATTAGCACGATAAAGCCGGCTTACTGGACAGCAATTCGCCCCTACTCACCGTCGATGTGTGATATCGTTTGCCAATTTTACCCTGGAGAGAAACTGTCAGGAGCTGCCCCAGATACATATTCTCTTGAGCAAAACAATGAACAAGCAGGACAAGACACATCTCACAGCCAAAGCTTTTGTCCCCACAGACTATCCGCTCCTTCATCATCCTGCTTTCCAGGTCGTCCACGATCATCAAACGCAATCCACACACTCCTCTCTCCAACCCTCGTAACCACACCCTCCAAGCCCTTTGTAGTCTTATCATCGTCCTTCCCTACCTTTGCTTTCCCAGCTTTACTCCCAACACCCCCTCGCGCCCCGGAAGCAATCGGCTCAACCCTCACCACATCCCCAACCCGGATCCCATGAGCCGGTAGACTATCCCTGCCAGCATCCCCATTGTCGCCCATATCACCAACCTTCTTCCCCTTTGCGCTTTTCAGCGCGGAATCCACGCCAAACTCACCAACCTCTCTTCCGCCCATGCCCGTCCGGCAGTTCACAAGCACCAACCCCGTCAGCGCATGGCCCGCAGCTTGCAGCGCACGACGAGTGGCCGGGGACACAAACGATAGGCCTGCATTGGTGCCGCCGGAGGACAGACTCAGGGCTGATGAGGCTATTTCGGCGTCGTGTTCTGCTAGCAGGAGTTGCTGCTGGGACTGGGCGAAGGTGGGGATGGAGAGAGGGCGCATGGTGGCTGGTGATAGGTGGATGTGAGGAGGGCAGGTTCACCGGTGCGTGGGCAGCCGCAGGAGCCGGATATGTAGGTCCTGATTCATTCGATAGACAGCGAGTAGCGATGGGAAAGCAGTTTGTCACCATCAGTCAATGAGCAAAGGATGCTTTGAGACGCGCGGGAGTGGACATCATTGTTAGTCAGCAAAGGACATCAAGCCCGACTTCATCTTGGATATAAATTTCGAATTTCTGTCCGAACAATGGATGGGAAGTTTCAAGAACTAATAGAGGATACGACAGATTCTCTATCTTTGAACCGGAAATCTCAGTTGAAGGTATTCCGTATTCCCTCATAAATTAAATTCTTGGCTATCTGTTGAAACTAGGGATGACTCTTGACCACCTACAGTACTCTAGTCTCTACTCCGCACCCTGCAGAAATTTCATATGTAATCATGTGAGACAGTGATAGTTCTCACGATCCCGTTTCCTTCAAAAGACTGCTTCGAACCTTCAGACGAAAAGTAATCTCCCTGAATGACAGCGGTCTGGAAACAAGCATACGGACATTGGACTTGCGACATCAGATGGTGCTGGTCAAATCCGTTGTCATCCTTGTGCTTCGGAGTTGTTGACCCGCTGTTCACCGCTGTACTGTCTCCAACAGAGCTCAGTTTGTGCTCCCCATGCTCGTATTGCCTCCTCGAATAGTCGCTGCGGCGTCGCTCGATCAGGGCGTTAAGCGCTGGCAAACACGCACAGATAAAACCGATACCGACCTCGGCGTTTCTGAGGGGAATTCCTTCTGTTAGTGATTTGCGAAATATAAGTGGTAGGGAAGAAAGCCGGTGTGTGAGGAAGAGGTTCATACCTAGCAAGTCCAATTCGGGTGAAGAGAATAGTCTGGTTGGATGAGCTACCCATCTGCACAGCTGTGACTAATTGATAAATACCAAATCCCGTAGCTATGCCACCGGGGCACAGGACACCGATTATTCTGAATTTCTGCTTGGCCTCCATCCGAGGCGACCATACCAACGGCAGGGGCATGAAGAAAATAATCAAGTTACTGACGACGCTCGCTACAGAGTCCGAGATCAGAATGGCCTGTTGGTTAAGACACTTGGAGAAGTCCTGTCGCCAGTATGCCGAAATTGGTAGACAAGTTCGAACTTTCACGACGAGGCCTGCGGCGTAGTAACCGGATAGAAGACCAAGGAAGATGTATATAAAAAGGACGACCCTTTTGTACGGGTTAAAGAGTTTAACAAGGGTCAGCAAAAGCGTAAGCTTCGCCATAAAAATCATGGGCATGTAGACGATGGTGGCAATATAGCTACGCTATCGAAGCCAGAGAGAGGTCAGACTCATGCGTTCCAGCATTTCAATTGGAGATGAGGCAGACCTTGAGGAATAGTATCATTGTTTCCGTGTCGACATCCCACTGATTGTAGCCGCCACCAGCCGTGGCCACTTTGCAAACAGAGCTCATCAGACAAGGTCGATCAGCGGTTTATAAGGGTAGAGCACGTACGGAAAATGGAGATAACGCAGTACGCGACATATAGTAGCTAATGTTTCCATCATAATCCTCAGTATCACTTTCATCTTTTATTCGATCAAAGCATCCATACCCATGAAACGGCACCGGCGTCTAAATCTCAGTCAACAAACCGCAAATGTCTCAAGATCACAAGATTTTGGACTACGTACAATCGTCACCGCCAAAAGAACGCAGCACCTTTGCTTTGACAAAGGTTCGAAGGAAAAAGAATATCGTAACGAACACAATACACAGCGCCTGGGTGGCCAGAAGGACTGTGTTCAATTCATCCTTGGGGTTGCTAGGGTCTGGTATGACTCCGGGAGGCGGTGCAATTGTGCCCTGACGCCCATCTTTAGCTACCATTGTAGCCCGTGGCCATTAGTCGACAGATATGCCCCTTCCTCACAAAAAGTGCTATGTCGTAGGTGTTGAACGTGATGACGAAAAGGAAAGGAGTTTTTATACTGGTCTTGCAAACTCGGAAATGAGTTTGGCTAAAAACAAGGGTAGCTGAATCATGTTGGCGTCCATTTATTCGATTGGAGGAACACGTTGCGGCCAGCTGGGCTCCCCGTACGAGCAGCTCAGGGATTCCTAGCAACAACGGATATTTATTGTTGGTCAGATCCGAACCCTAATGGTATGATATCGCTTTGCCCCCCAGCAAAGCGGCGAGAAGCTGAGCAGTCTGGTTATGGCAGGCGTTGACCGTCCGCACGATTCTCACCACCCAAAGGCCATATTAGCTGGAGGCAAGAGACTTGAGATCCGCTCGCATTGGGGGAAGCCAGGGCCAGCGACATGAGCTTATTATATTGGCAGTTTATTGGCGCAAACAAACGCCAAGTCACGGAGCGCGAAACAAACCAACAGTTTTCTGCAGAGAACCAGGATACTTGTGCAGTTGCCTCCGACAGCGGCAGACCTTCGTAGCCGGCCGCGAAAGATTACCGTATGAGAACTCAGACGAATCGCTGGAAGAGACATTGACCCTTGCTGCATCATGATCATCCATGGAATGATGTCCCGTCTTGAAAAGCTTGTTGGTCTGTAACTAGCGCCTTGGCTATTCAACAGTCAAGATATTTGATGGCGGGTTATGTGTAATATGCCTTGCTCGAACCATCACGGAGGTTGACCCAGGCGATCCAGTTCTCTCTGGCTTTATATGCCCTCTTAACTCAAGAGATATGCCGGCCTGACTTACCCGCAAGGGCGAATTTTGTCCATCCGTCCTAAGCTCGCCACGAAGCCTGTCTATGATGCACATTGCGGTGTAGCCTTGACGAGAAACCGCGGTGCTCCATTTCAGTTAGAAGGGGGACCTGAGAATCCAAACTGAATATGGTTTCCAAACGATTTGTTTGTCGAATTCTATTCGCAGCGAACGACGCTGGGTAGGCTGTTGCTCACAAGACAGGGCACCCTCACTGAAGGTGAAGGTGCACTAGCCTCCCGTTATTGCTTCCTGGTTTAGAGAAATGGAATGCCCGGTGTCCCGGGAGTGGTTGGACACGCCCTTCATCGAACCTGGGATGAACCCTCTCTGCTCCCCAGCAATTTCCGCGAGGTGCTTGGGTCAATCCGTTCCATTGTTCTCAGCAAGAGGCTGGGATAACAGGAATTCTTGGGATCGCGTGCGGCCATTCTGACTCTCTGCTTTATGGATAGTATTTCATCAGCAATTCCGATTTGGTCACGCGGCTAAAGGCTGTATTCCGCTGACCAAGTAGGCAAGCCTTTATGGACCAGCGGTGACCAAGGTATATTTTGCAGGAACCTATGTGGTTGGGGCTTTCTCTCCTACATAGGTCAAGGTCTTCGGATCTGTGGAAGCGGAGAGTGTAAAATATACAGAGTGACCCCTCATTTGGACTCTGGAAGCGCCGTTTTCGAGCCTTGGCGAACTGGCCGTGATTCAAGGGAGCCCATTGGTCAATCTCACCAGCTCAATCCGTCGGCCCCCTCGAAAGGAGGAGATATGGCACAACGGTCTGGTTATCGCCTCTGTTCCTGAAAGATCCACTACACTCTGGTGCCCACAGTATTGAGTGTCCATCCTAATAATAATGAGGAACGCCCTCCAATCGTGAAACAAGCTTCATAACCTCGCGCGCCAGTTAACTCCGGGGCGAGAACTTAGAAGCAGAACCCGAGAAAGACCGCGTGGTGCGCCCCCCCAGAAGCCGCCGAAATTCTCCCGGTGGAGCGCAACCAGAGCCCGGCTGAATAGGCCCAGGGCAACGGCAATCCCTCGGCTGCTCACTATATCCGGGCAAAAGACAGCTGATTGCCTCTCCGGCGTCGCCACCAAGTCGACATATCTGTGCAGAAACCGACACCGGACATACGTTAATCCTGCCGCGAGGTCTAGATGGCTGAGTCAGCGTGACTAGGCGGGGCGGGACCTGGTCAACTGCCACTTCTGACACCCTTGGAATCCTTCCACGCTCTAAAATTCTGCTTGTCCTTCGTGGCATTCCGGGGGGCGCTTTGATTTTTCTTTTCGCCCTGCTCTTTAAAAGCGCGGGCCAGTTCCACTGTCTTTAGTTTCCGTTGACAGAGCCCCATGCAATGAACGATGCTGCAATGTCCGGAAATTGCCACACTGAGAGATTGAGCGGTGAAGATGCCAAAATGGACCACAAACAAACCTCTACTGTCGTTGAGATCCAACCTACCCAGCTCACGCCAGACGAGCCAGAGCAATCACCATCTGCCCCAGAGCCTGCTGATAACAAGGAAACCTCCGAGACGACGCTTGACGAGCAGCTGTCAGGCCTCCAGGTTTCCAGTGTCGGGGACGGAGCGCTGCAGCCAGGGCTGCAGGCCACCGCGCAAGCTCATCCTGATATCCCCCAGGAGATTACCACGCAAACAGATCCTCCCAACCGAAGAGACCCCGAGTTGAAATTTTCCAAGCCCGATTTGGAAAAGATTTTTGCACTAACCCCAATCCCCACCATCCTCCTCGACTCCAATCTACGCATCGTGCACATCTCTGACAGCCACTTCAGCTTCTTCCAACTAGACAAGGAGGAATGTTTTGGTCGACACATTCTTGACGTGGAACCACGAAAAGTCCCCGCCCCAGATGCTGCCACGCTCAGCGACATCATCCATTCCGCCATCCATACCCGCAGCATCCAGATGATGAACGATGTTGAGGACCGTCTGTCCCAGACTTTGTTCCGCTTGCGGGCTACACCAATATTCGAAGCGAATCAGTTTCTCTACATTATTCTAGAAGCCCTCAACGTAACAAATCCCCAATTAAAAGCAAAGGTGCACGAACACGCCTACGCTACGGAAACTTATCGGGTGCTGGTCGATACTGTCAGTGACTATGCGATATTTATGCTAGACACAAAGGGTTACATTACTACGTGGAATGCTGGCGCCGCTATTTTGAAAGGATACACGGCTGGAGAGATTGTTGGGAAGCATTTCTCCTTATTCTACGGGCCAGACGACTGCTTAAAGGGCAAGCCGGCTAAGGAGCTAGTCCTAGCACTCCACGACGGCAAGGTTGAAGATGAAGGCTGGCGATATCGCAAGGACGGCTCCCGATTTTGGGCAAACGTTACCTTAACACCCGTCCATCAGCTTGGCCACCACATCGGCTTCGTCAAGGTAACTCGTGATTTAACCGAGCGAAAGGCCGCTGAGGCACGCCTCATCGCCGCGTACGATGAAACGTCAAAACTGAAAAGCGATTTTCTCGCAAACATGAGCCATCAGATCAGAACTCCAATGAATGGGGTCACTGGCGCTCTCTCCTTGCTCAACAACACCGGTTTGTCCGACCACCAACGGGAGTTGGCAAGCATTATCGGAGACCAAACCTCCGTACTATTGCAATTGATCAATGACATTCTCGACTATTCAAAGCTGACTTCCGGTTCATTCTCTCTCAACACTAATGTTTTCAGCGTGGATCAGGTCGTGACCTCTGTGCTTCAGAACTGCAGCATCACCAAGCCAGAGATTGCTATTCAGAGTATCATCGATCCCAAATTCCCCACGCACGTCAAAGGGGACCCTCTCCGCTTCCGCCAAATTCTGCAGAATCTGATTGGAAATGCGTTCAAGTTTACGGACCAAGGGTACATTCACGTTCACACCAATTTTACGGAAGACGAAAATCATGAAGATTATTCTGTGACCGTCGAAGTCGTTGACTCGGGTATCGGCGTCGCCGACGAAGCCATGAGCACTCTTTTCTCTCCCTTCACGCGTTCTGCGGATTCTACAACCAAGCGATATCAGGGCACCGGCCTTGGACTATCAATCTGTAAAAGTTTGGCGGAACTCATGGGTGGTGCGGTGGGGTATCGAACAAATCCCGATTGCCAAGGTAGTATCTTTTGGCTCAAAATAAAACTTGGACGTATCGATGCTCCGTCACCGCGATTGGCTGTGCCCTCGTCCTCGGATCCCTGCCAGGATGTCCAAAAGGTCGCTCCGCGCAAGCAATTGTTGATCGTGGAGGACAATACGGTCAACCAAGTTGTTTTGCTGAAAATGTTGAGTTCTCTCGGTTTCGAACGAGTGGATGCTGCCTGGGATGGAGCAGAAGCGGTGCGCCTAATAAAGCAAAAGCCATTGGCATATCATACCGTCCTCATGGACGTTAGCATGCCAATTATGGACGGACTTGAGGCTACGACCGCCATTCGTGAGATGAGAAACGATGTTCCAGTTATTGCAGTCACTGGGAACGCTCTGAAAGGAGACTTTGAAACCTACCTTGCTAAAGGGATGAATGATTTTATTGCCAAACCAATCCATCGAAAAGACCTCGCACGCGTTTTATTGCAATGGGTTGGACCATGAATGAATTGAAGAAAGGAGAAATGAAAAAATTGAAGGAACATATCGATATACTATTCCCGGATGCGGTGTCTTTAATCAACGAATGCTTTAATTTACACCTCTCCCCTTTCCCCAGAGCAAACGAGGAAGACCGGAGAAGACTACCCCATTATCGGGTCTGTCTTCGAATTCGGGTTGCTAACGTGGGACATTTCCGAATGTTCTGCCAAGGGTTGTGAGGTCCCGTACTTGTCTCTACCTGCCGCCTTATGTGGTTCAAATCCAGATTTCCCCTAAAAGAAACCTTTTAAAACAGCATATTCCACCCCTTCCCTCCAGGCCCCAGTGCGTAAATCCAGTATAAGGGTGGCAGACGATATATGGGAACGCGACAATCCCTACTCGGACTATGAACTCGTCAAAGTCTCCCATCCAAATTCAATCATTATTACCAATAAATACAAATAATCACCAAGGACCATTATACACGGGTATGCATATCTGCGGGGAATGTTAACTTCCACTGCCGTTTCTTAAATACAACGTACCATACCGCCCCTTCCTGCCTATATTTTTGACGGTAAGACCTGCCTGGCTGCGGATGCCCCTGCGTGCACGCTGGCCAAGATATCCGTTCTGCTATCAGGTGAACAGACCAGAACCGGGGACCCAGGACACCTTGGATAAACGGGCTCGATAGGCCACGATGGCTTTTGAGTGGCAGAAGCAGCCAATAAAGCGAGGCACTCAGCAGGGAAGTTGAGGCAATTCATGCAGGGGACTGCGGCATCCGCCTGCGCATGTGGTCGCCAAAAGAGGTGGCCGATAAATGCAAGCGAGAAAGCTTATTGCGGCCAGACACCACCGTTGGGCCGTTGAAACCAACGATTTTCGTCTACGAGGCAGACTACCAAATGGGCCAGGGGATCTGGGGTCAAACGGTTATGTGGCTGCAGCATCCACTTGTCTGCCCGAATTCCAGAGTGCGAGACGGGGCCTATGGCTTTGTAATCTCTTTTTGGGAAATTTGAAAGGGCCAAGCAGCGCAGGATTGACTGGCTTGCATACCTAGGCTCTGGACCGCTGTTACGAGGCGCGCCGCTGTGCGTGCAACAAAATCTGCAGTGTGTGTGCGCAGGGGCCCAGCAGAATTTAATTTTCCTACGCTGTATTTCCACATATCAGCTGGCTATTATATCAAAATAACCATGGAATCGTTGCACACGTCCCTTCAGATCCACTCACAGCACAATCCAGAAGACAAGCCAATACTGATTGGAGGATTTCAAGGTGAGAAGAGGGATGAAGAATAAGAGGGATGTCGGCCCATCCAGCCTCCATGGCCAAGTTGACTTTGTTTTATACTGTAGCCTCATCCCACGCGTGGCGAAAATGCAGGATCCGAAGTTGGCAAATGTGGCTTCTCCCAGGGGTCATTTGTGGCCACGCGATTGCCAACTTCATAATTTATAAGTTGTTGTGGTATACCGCAGTTTTCCTCCCAGAAGTCTTTCGATTTTTGATTTGAAAGAAGTGGAAATTGACAGGCTTATTGTGTGGCAAGGGAGTTGAACGACTTGCTGGGGCAGAGGGCAACTGACGTGTCGCTTTCAGAGATAGCCAGATCGTCGAATGCGAATATGTTCGTTTTCTCCGATTCTCCTTGTTTTTACTGTTTGATTCAGGCTAACTGTGCTTTTTCATGCCTTAGGCTAAAGTCTTTTGCAGACGCTCACACGTTTGTGGATATTGGTGACTGACCAGAGAGCACATTGCGCTCACTACTCCCCGGCTCTTCGTCGGTGCTCGATGCCGTTGACATGCCATCTTGCTCGAGCCTTTTGGAAAATTATGTCGATTTTGACGCTCTGGCACCTCGTACTCGAAGGAATGGTACTCGACCCTGATGATGAAAGTACTGGTCCAATTTTTTCTGGTATATTTATATCTGCTTTAGGAGCCCAGTTGCGCAGAACAGGAATAAGCTGCTGTTTAAGAGCCGTCAGGGTTAACTAATAGTTGTTCTTGGCTAGGATTTCTGGATGTCGTGACATGTTTCTGATATCCCGGGCTGCATTTGTATACATACACAGGTAGGCATTGGATACTCCTCGGTAGATATACGGAAATTCTCCAGACCAAGGCATGGTAGTGAATACGTCACGGGTGTGATTTGAAGGTCGTCATCAATCGAGCTTTTCCTGGCAAGCTCTCAGGATCTTCGTGAGAAGTTGCTGAGGTCTTGGCATAACTTATGAACAACATTTAAGCGCGATGTGTTGCGATCTTCAACAGCGCTGGCGTTCTACTTAAACAAGCAGCATTATCAAGGAGTAGACATCTTTGAGCCATGTAATTTTACTCACGTCACAGTGATGACATTCAATCGCTTCGTCTGATCCCTGGGTCCTCGTGGATGCAGGGACTTCAAGTGATCCAGCATTCGTATCTTGTTTCTGACTTCTCCCACAAGGACCTCCGCGAAGCCCGGGCAAACCCCGCAGGTGGAGTGGCCTGATGCCCAGTGGCCACAGTTCCGAGTTTTCCCTCTCCTTGCATCATTCCGGCAGATGTCTTGGATTCTGCAGCGTTTCCCTGGATCTGATAGAGAGGCTGCCCGAGACCCGGGTTGCCGATACTTCCCGGCGGGACGGTTCCTGGAAAGCAAACAGAGCAAAAACAGCCAGCACCTTCCATGGATGGCAGCCACGGGAAGCGAGACAAAACAGAAGGAGCAGGGCACAAATTGACTTTGCCTAGCGCTGATTTGAGGCGGTGCATTACGAAGAATCAGCCAATGGGAGTCGTCCACGCAGGTCATGACGCTTTGATTGGCTGGGTATAAATATCCGGACCTGAAACTTACCAAAATTTCAGCCTTACACCGCGAATTCTGCTTGAATTTTCTGTTTATGGCTGTACGACTGATGACGAGGCTCCAGTCGGTCACTCCACCCTGTCTCAGCCGCACTGCGTGTGCTGGCGGAGGTACCCCGTTGCCTGGAATTGTATGGAAGGGTACTTTACGAGGATGTCACGGACTGTATCACTGCGGAGTGACGATTCGGTAAGCCGTATTTCTTCGCTTGCCTTCAACCTGCTTTTCTTCTTCTTTATCTTCACCTCATCACCTCTCGCTCTTTTGCCACCAACAGGGCCTTCGCTTGCTTGCAACTCTCCCTTTCTCTCGCTCGCTCCATCTCCCAACATCGTCAATTTCATCGGGAGAGCCGCAGCACAGTCACCATGCTTCACTCTTTTACTCGCCGCGCCTTCTGCGCCCTCCTCATCGTCGCTTGCTCCATCCTTGTCCAGGCCGAGCCGCTCCATCGCCGGCCCTACAGAGAGCCCCGCGAGATCCTCGAGGACCGCACAGTCGCTGCTGCGTTCCAGGGCCTTTCGTTCAAATTCTGGAATTCTGTTGAGCGTTCAATCGATATCAAACATGACCTCGGTGCCCCTCCCCAGAATGATCCACGATATCAGTTGATCAAGAGGCAAGGCGGAAGCGGAATCGTCACCAATTCTACTCCATCCGTGACCCCAACGCCTACACCACCGCCAGAGGAGACTCCCACTGAGCCACCACCAACCACCTCTGACACGCAACCCACGGAGACTCCCAACCCGCCTTCAGACACTCCATCCTCGCCATCTCCAACTACTCCAGGCTCAACTACGCCTCCAGCCTCACAGACGCCATCTACTGAGCGTACTACTCCAACCATCACTAACAGCACCCCGAGAGAATCCACGTCTGTGTCCAGCTCAACCTTTATCGGCACCACTACTGATGAGAATGGAGGCCTTGTGACATACACATCGGTTGTCCTTGTTCGACCTACACGCCCCGGGAATGGAGACTCTCAGGAAACCAACAGTGCAAAACCAAGCTTGCAAACCAACGGTGCCGCTGCCCCAGCCGGAATGCAAAAGGAGATGATTGCCGTACTCGGAGGTGCCGTGGCCGTTGCCATGGCTCTCTAATCGATGGAGATTGAGCCGGAATCTAAAAATTGTGACATTTTTTTTTTCTCCACTTGTTATTGCAAACTGCGAGACCGGGGGGTGAACGTGAGCGGGTTATTTGCATTTCCAGGGGCGTCTGATGTTTTCTATCTGATTGATCGGTTTCGGTACTTTCTATGACCTAGGTTCCAATAATGCTAGGCCTCTACCCTACCCCCCCCCCCCCCCAACGCAAATTGGCGACTGGACGACAGATATCTTCTCTTTATGTGATGCTCTTTAGGGAAGGACTTGCTTTCTTTTGACTACAACTAAAATCCTGGAATACTGAACTAAGAATGGAATCTGCGAAGAAGTTGCTTGTTTACAGACTGGGCCAATTTAAACTGCAAAATTAGGTTGTCAATGCTCAGCATATCAAAATTGCTTGA